CAGAAGACATCAAACTCCCATAATTCTTCAAGCACCAGCATCATTCTCAAGTCTCTTCTCAACACAGGCTCCAGAGAAAAGAATAACATGTGGCTCCTAAAAGCTCTAGCTGAGAAAAGTCTTCAAATAAAGAGGGTCAGTATTCTTGCAAAAGCTTCAGCAGCTGAAGACTATCACCAGACACCTCAACTTCACCCTAACCATTCGACATGTTCCTGAAGCCTGACTTGAAACACACTATCCTGCCCTCACTGGCTCCAGAGGTGTCACCATGAGGACTTGCATTTCCTGAATGTGGCACTCCACAAAATCCTTGCTTCTAGATCAAGCATCTCAGCTTAAAATCAGTGCCCACAATTCAGAGTGACTATGGGGAGTCTGCTCTGAAGACAGGCTCAATCTCATGCACTGAAAAATTGAGTAGAGTAGGAGCTGGGATGCAGGCACTAGAGTGGCTCCTGATTTTTCAAAGAAAAAAACAGGTTCCCTGAATCACAATAGCAAATACTCTTAATTTCATTAATGAACTGTGCCTCAAGTAAAGTTGGAAAGGAAGAGCAAAGAGTTTTATGCACTTTTATATCCGATGGCATGGCAGAGGATGACAGAAGACAGTGATCCCACTGAGTAATAGAAGCTAAATTATCTCCTCTGCCCACTTTTACTATAGCTAATTAAGTCATATAGATGAGAGAAGATAAAGGGATTCAAAAGAAGCATACTAAGCTTTTCAAGTTTCTTTAAAAAAAATGTAGACATTAGAAGAGATTAAAACCAAAAGCACCTCAGAATAGTTTTTACTTTCACCTCCTAAGAGTAGAGACAGCAGCTGCTACTACCAGAGACAACCACATACTGAGCAACAGAAGAGCACTTTTAGACTATTGCCATACAGCTGCTGGCCCACAACTCATATCAGACTGCAGAGCTTCCATCTTTGCATAACACAGCAATCAGTATTCCTAAGCATTCCAGAAACAGAGTCAAAAGCATGATTTAAATGGATTTATACTCACTGCCACACAAAGGCCAAGGACATTGAGGTGGGCACTTGTATTAGCAGCAGCGGCTGTCAACCTGATGACTTGAGGGTTGGTGAGCTGTTTTTTTTAAACACAAGACAGAAATGTTGACTTGAAGTGATACACAGGAATTCAGCAGCTGAAGCTACATCTTCACAAGTTCTGAAGGATTGAACTGTTTGCCCAGCAGCAGTCCAAATGCTGCTACAAAGTAGCTATGAGTTCATAAAATTACATTTTTCATTGCCTCTAAGATTAATGTACTTTCACCACAGAAATGGCTTTAGCTTTTGTCAAGTAATACAGCGAGCAGCTGCTTTGACACATCATTAAAGAAACAAGTCTTCTCAATTTTCATATTGCAGATAATCTTATTTTTAAAAACTCTGAGAAATCAAGGAGATTACAGGGTATTTACATTCTCACTCATTTGCATGAGATGCAAAGAAGCTATAAGAATGTTTTGGTTTACTTCCAGAGCTATCTTTTAGATCTAGTATTGAAGAATGAAATACCACACATGCTTGAAAAGTAACTGGATAGTAAGAAACACCTTAAGTATCTTTGTGCAGCAAGAGATGCAGAATTTTGGGAAAAATTACAGATATCTAAAATCATGTAACAAATTTTGGGTGCTACATAAGTTTGTTTGGCAAGATGTGCCTGCAAAACCATGCAGCTCTCATTCCAGAATCTGTGCAATATCCTATTGGAAATGGAAAGAAATACATCTTCAGGAAGTGAAATTGATTTTTTAAAACTGTATGTATGCATGTATCTTCCTAAGTCCTGGACTAATCCTTTCTCCTCTCAAAGACAAAAATTTCTGGTACACCTTCCCAACATTATTCCCCAAGCACTACCCTGTAGGAAGAGCTTACAGATGAAATGAACAGCTGAAAGTGAGTATTACCTTGCAATACAGCCCATCCATTTCCCAAACACAAATTGCAGTTTTAGTCCAGATTTTAACCATCTTCTTAGAAGAAATGTGTTTTTCTCTGGAGATAGGCAACAACATTGCAATTCTTGAATAAATATTTAAGACCATCAGGAAGGGAGTAGGGCTTCCCCCCCTCCTCATTTTTCTGCCTGGAAGGGTAAAAGAGGGACAGGAGCAGTAAAGAAAACAATTTAATAGAAGATGTAAAGTTAATGTCAGCAAGGGGTAACCACTGTAACAATAAAAATAAAAGCACTCAAGAATGTCAAGGGTGCCCAGGGGAAGAGGTGGGAAAGCAAGGCAAGGAATACAGAGAAAGTCCAGTGGGAATCATTGTTTGCACACCCAACACTAAAGTATGGTTGTTACGATGATTTTCTACCTACACCACTGCATTTTTCTAGAAGACAGAAATAGAAATATTTTCCAGTAGCCTACAAGATTTGAGTAAGGCAAAATGAGCATTAAAATATTACAGCCTATATACCAAGGGAGCAGTATAATAAGATGTGTGTTTTATCATTTGATAGACATCAATACCAGCATTCACAGAAGAAACACTTTCCTTTTTAGTGACTAAATCAAATCATCTGTCATTTCATAATCAAGTGTATACTACATATGAATGACCTTTGATCCAATTAGTTCTGAAGCCCCTCAATTTCTCGAAATACAGCTTGTCAATCCATCCTCACATCTCACATCTTAGACTGCATCCTCCTTCATATATTAGGATTACATTAATTTTTCTTGACCTTTTGTACCATAACTCCTCTGCCTCACCCAAAAAACAACACTTACAAAGTAGCTGATACTTGACTTTGCCCCTTGATAGTAAGCAGAACAAATTTTTCCATCCCAAACTGAGACAATAAGTAATCTAGAGCTCACCACTGAAGATCCTACACTTTCTCAAAATACCATCTGTCAATGTCCCTGCAATCCAGGAACAAGAACTCAGTGAGGAAAATGGCAGCATGTATTTTCCATTATGGTAAACAACCACATCAGCCCCAAGCTGATGGCAAATAGCCCACTGGTAAAACTGCGGTAATCAGCCAAAGAAGTTGCTTCAAAAGTAAAGCACATACCCTTGCTTCACAACGAATATTGTGACATTCACACAGGGGTCTTACAAGCAGGTTAAGCAGGCAGGCATTTTGAGTAGTTAAGATATGCTTGGTTTGCAAAGCTAAAACAACAGGAATAATAACTATTCCTGCTCAAATAACAGCTCAAAAAATGAACATGACAGGGAAATTTTGGATGGAGGGCAGGTGTGAGGTGTCATAGCAATACAGGAACCACAGAACAGCTAACTGATAACCAGGATAATCACCTTGTTTAAGAATGGGTCCCAAACAGCCAAAATGCATTTAGCTCTGACAGTTGTAAGCTACTGCTTATCTACATGTGACACACAAAGAAGTATGTACTTCATTCCTAAAACTGTGGCCTCAGTGACTAAAAGAGGGAACCTGGAAAGGATTCATATGAACTATCACTATCAACAGACTCCTTTTTTCTACAGCCCATCTACTGGGCAACAAAAGGTACAACAGCCACAGTTGGAGTTCTGAACATTTCTGAACTCTTCTTTTTGTTTCATCTGCCCTATATTTTAGAAACTGATTTGACTGCATGTGTCACAGGGACTGGGGAAGCTAAGAAATAAGATCTCACACACACAAAAAAAAAATAAACACACACAGTGAAAGACAAGAACTTCAAAGGCATATTAGACACTGTCTAAACCTATGTTTAATGCAGTGTTTAACCACACCAGCAATTAACATCATAGACAAAATAAGTCCTTGCTGAATATTAAGCACCCATGCCTTTTCAGATAGGGAGAAAGGGCTCATGCTGAGTGTCCCAAGACATCCAACAGCGAGGATGCCTTAAGGAAAAATATCGTAGTATTCAAGTATTCTTTATAACTCTTAACAGAAAAATAAAAAGAAGTAGATTAAACCCTCTCCTTTTAATCTCATACAAATAACCTTTAAATAATTCTTATGCCAGTAAGATACATTTTAAGATGTTTTCAAAGGAACACTATCAGCCTAAGTAACCTTTCTTTAAAATTCCCTGTATTACTAATTTGAGTATGGAAATGCAGGTATTTTATCACCCATCATCATATTTTAACACATCTTTGACAGCGAAGAGAGATCTGTCAGCTTCATTAAGATCCAGGCAGCAGGGTAGGATTTAGGCAACTGAAGTATGTTAGAAGCAAATATATTGTGTAATCATTTTTTAAGGTTTTTTTACCTCCGTTTTCAATGCTTAACTTCACATGATCCAGTCCTGAACATTTAGAGGCTTGTACCACACAAAGCTTTAGGTGGCCCCAAAAAGCTGTTGATACAGCATATCTACCCTTGATACTCTTATTTTATATTTTATCTGTGATTTCTTTATGCTGGCAAATACAATTAAGGAAACTCAGCCACCGGCACCTTCAGTCGTCTGGATTAACATTAGAGCAAGTGATTTTAAGGGCCAGAAAAAGGCAATTGTGCCACCTGCACTAGTTCTGTGCCCTGCACGTCATAGGCTGACAGCCTCTGGATCACAGCATGAAGTCTTTTTCAGATCAAAGTTCTTGTGCACTATTCAGCAACAAGCAGCTGTTTTGAGTAAGCACATAATAGCTACAGAAGAGATGCGGCAGTTTTTCAGTCACTTACGCTGTCTCCACAAATACCATAACTTAACCCCCTTCTTTCCATGGCTGATGCATGGAACTGGCTAGGGTGAGAAAATAAATCAGTCGCTGGAGGACACCTCGTATTTGCCCTCCCAGCTCTCGCTCGCCAGAAGGCTAAATTCACCCTGAGGAAGGCAACATGGAGCCACAGCTACATATGGCAGCTGGAGGACATAAGGCTACCGCTCAGAAGTTGATACACGTCGGGGAGACACGAGGATATCGGTGAGAGGGAGGGACAGCAGTGCGGGAAAGACCTAATTCAAGGGATCTCCCTGTCACCCAGTCCCGCTCCCTTGCCGGCGAGCGAGGCACCCACCTGTGCCGGTGCTCGTCGTGCCCTTGCCCGTGGATAAGGAAGCCGCCGAGGTTCTTGCCCCCTTTGCTGGTGTCCACGTGGGGAATGAGCACATCCTCCAAGCCCAGGTCAAAGCGCTTATGCTTCGAGGAGTCGGGGAGGAAGAAGAACGCCCCGAAGCACAGGGTGATGAAGGCACTAAGAATAAGGAGCAGGATAAATTTTTCGGAGAGTCTCAAGGTAGCCCTGTGGTGCGGGAAGGCGGAGGCCCCCAGGTTCAGCGGGGGCAGCCTCCGCCCGGAGAGCGGCAGCAGGGCGGGAGTGGTCATCCTTCCGCTAGCGACCCCCCGGCGGGGCACGGCTCATCCCCTCAGCCCCGGCGGAGGGCGGCCCCGGCCCGCCTCGGGGGCTGCGGGCGGCTGCACCATCATCATCCTCCCCGCGGGCGCCGGGGGAAGGGAGGGCAGGGGGGAGGCCGGGCCGCCCCGACGGCCCCCGCCCCCACGGGGGTTCGGGCCGGGGCGCGGTCGCCCCGCTACCTGCGCGCCCCCTTCCCTCGCCGCGGGACCAGCCGGGCCCGAGCGAGCGACTCCGGTCAGCGACGCTCCCCGAGCTCCGCGGCCGCGGGGCTGCGGGACGAGCGGCAGCGGGGAGCCGGGAGCCCGGCCTGGCGCGCGGCGTCGCTCCACCCACGTCCCCTTGTCCGGGCCGGGCAGAGGCGCATCCCCCTGGCCGCGCCGGGGCCCCGCTGAGAACGACACCGGGAGCGGCCGCCGCGCCGGTCCCGCTCCGGACCCCCTGCCCGCCCTCACGGCGCCTGCGCGGCGGCGGCGGGCGGCGCACGCGCGCGGGGCGCGCGGTGAGAGCGGGGGCGGGGAGGGGGCGGGGAGGGGGCGGGGCCGGCGCGGCCCCCGCGGGGAGCGGGAGCGGGGCCGGGAGCGGAACCCGCGCGTGTGGGTGGGGAAACAGCGCTGGGACAGGCAGCTATGGGAGAGGGCCCATGGGAGGCCGCGAAGATGCTGAGGGGACTGGAGCGTCTCTCTTACGAGGGATCTGGGCCTGTTTTGTGTAGAGAAGGCTGAGAGGGGATCTCATTAGCGCACATAAATATCTCAAGGGTGGGTGACAAGAGGATGGTGCCAGGCTCTTTCCTCTGGTGCCCGGCCACAGGGCGAGGAGCCACGAACTTAAACACAAGAAGTGTTCCTCAACTGGAGGAAGAACTTCTTTACACTGAGGGTGGCAGAGCGCTGGAACAGGCTGAGATCCGTGGAGTTTCCCTCTCTGAAGACATTGAAAGCCCAACTGGACACATTCCTGTTCTATTATTTGCACCTGGTAACCTCTTCGCTCCTGGTGACCCTGCCTTGGCAGGGGGGTTGGACTAGAGGATCTCCACGAAGTCATCCTGGGCATAAGACAGGACCCCATGTAGAGGCTTTCATGCAAAAGCAAAAGGAAAGGTGAAGGAAAGGCCTGGTCAGGGAAGCTGCAGGAACCAGATTCCATGAACATCACAGAAAAAAAGTAAGTTCATAAATTTGGGAGATGAGCTGCACATGCAGCTTTTTTCAGAGTAAGGTGTCTTCCACATTTTAAAGGTTTAACAAGCTGGAGACTCAGGTACTCTCAGATTATGGAGGCCAGTCTGTTTAGTGAACCTGGCAGCCAAATCTGAATCACAGCCAAGGAAGTATAAAGGCAGGGGAGAGAACAGGTCAGCTCAGCCTGCCGAAGTAAAGCTAACTGGGGTGGAGAGGACTTCCCAGGTGCAAGGCGGCAACCCCAGGTTCAGGTAGGAGTGACAGGGTGAGAACTGAACTGAAGCAGCAGGCTTTTCTGCTCCCTGCAGGAAACCTTCCTGCTGAGACAAGCTCCAGAAGGAAGAGGAATCCCACCTAGAGGTGTAAATACACAGAGTGAGAGAGAAAGCACTGAGACATGTCCTGCAGGTAGATGAAGCAGACACAGAGCCAAGGGTGGTTTCAAGTACCACAAATGCTGCCGATGCCCCTGAGTGGGGTGCCCTTGATCCCTGTCACAGCAGCTGGAATCTGAGCAATGCAGGTTTGACAGAAGCAATCTCGGGCATTTAGGTTTGTTTTCTGGCTTATACTTTGCTTTATATGTTTTGAATTTGTGGAATTATGCTGGCCTGTGGAAAAAGAAGTCTGAGTCCAACTAGACATGCTGAATTAATAATGATTAGTCCTCAGCTTCTCATCTGAGTGTGGTTTACTGTGAAAATTAAGCCCTCAAGAAAGGTTACTTTGGGAGGTTTCCAGGGAAGGAAAGCAGCTGAGCTAACAAAAAATACCCTGAGAGTCAATATAGTGGCACAGGTGTGGTTGTGTCAAAAAAATCCAGATTAATGAACACTTAGGGCAAATCAAGTTAGTTGAAGTTATCTGCTCAAGGTAAAGGAGACCTTGACAAGTTTAACTTCTATGCTATGTCTTCACAACCAAGCTATGAATCCCATCTTGCTGGATCTTACTGTGTACCATATCAGAGGTGTTGGCCTTTCCCATCTCTCCACCCAGCTAAATTCTTCCATCGACTGATTTTGCTTCCTCTTCTCTGTTTTCTACAAAGAGGACCCGTGACAATGCCCTGCAGAAGACAGCTGGGCCTTGCTCAGTCATCTTGCACTGGTGAAGAATAAAGTGTGAAACTGCCATGAGGTGACAAAACCCAAAAAGCCAGTGTGGGACAGAGATACCAAAGAGAGGATGTACAGAAAGAGCTGTATTATCAATGATACTACAATGCACTCCAGTCAGTACAGCAACTAAACCCAACATTTAATGTTAGAATGGGATCAACATGCTTCAACTGGTCTGCTGGCCATTTCAACTGTCTTCTAGTTTTGATCTGGTAAAGTAAATTATCTTCAAATATGTTCATGTCTTCACTTGTTAAATTGCTTTTACACATAGTCTAGAAAACAAAGATGATTCCATGGAGACTTTTGTTCTTCAGTCTTTTTGCCCTTTGCTTCAGTCTTCTCTGCCAACTGCTAGTTTTTCCTTTACTTTAAAAGACTAAGCAGAAGCTTCCAATTTCTCTATAAAATGTTTCTTTGTGTTTAGCTTATTGGAAGAAAGTGACATTTCTATAGGTTTTTTAGTTTATGATGACCTTTCCAAATTCTAACATGTCTGTGTTTAAACTATGATGAAGTTTTGTACTTCTACAATTTTGTGCTTGTTTTGACTTCTTTACTTTTTACCAAAGTCTAATAGTAATTTTTCATCCTTTGGTTCTGTCATTTTGGGTAATATGCATATCCCTGTAAGTTTGCCAGTGATTTTCCACGCTGCAGTGGTGTTACTCTGTAGCTGAACAACATTAAATATAGAACGATATTGAATGAGTTGGGTTTTGTGAGCCTGTGCTTCACTATATAGATTTTGCATCTATTAGTATTTTATCACAGATGCCCAGAAAACTCTCAGAAAGTGTCCTGAGCTGAAACCTGAAGGTTTTCACAAGAACCAGGAATTCCTGTACTCACTGCCTTGACTTTGATCAATTGCTAATGTAACTGGGAACTTGAGGTCCAAAAGTGCTTGATCATCAGTACTAAAGTCACTGTATTTCCACAAGCCAACATTTCTGGAAAGCTATTACAGCAGTTCACATTTTTCAAAGGTACACAAAGTAAGTCTTGTAGAAGTACAGATCCATATCAATGTACTATTTCTGTCTTCTTGAAACTGCAGTGATCCTTTCTAGCATCACAGTTCAGGCACACAATCTGGATTCATTATTTGTGAACTTCTTCGGTTTCTCTCCAAAACTGTCCAGTCTTTCCAGGTTCCATGGAAAATCTGATGTAACTTGAAATAACATTCATATTCTCCTGGTCTCAATGGTGGCTGGGGTCCCAAGAGCACATTCTTTATGAAACCTAGACTCTAGACTCACTAGAGGCTCCTGTGACTGTCTTTATGTTTTTCCCTCTATCCTTCCAAACACAGCTTCTCTGAAAAAGACTTTACCCTCAGCCAAGCTTTGCCACAAATCTTTGGTCTTTGGCCCACTGCCCTGCTCTCTACATCCTCCTCTCTGTGTTGCTGGATGTACGTAAACATACATTTTACTATTATTTCTGTCAAAATAATTATCACAAATTGACCTTTGCAATTCAGATCCCATTTTGTTCCAAGCAACCCTTACCCTATAACTTTATGAGGAAGACTAGCCTTGTTCATCCTTAATCCAGCTACAGCAGGATGATTAGTGCTGTCCTAATCTCATTCTGCTCTTTCCAATTTCAGTTGAGGTGAGAACACACTCTTCTCCTAATTCAGATCTACATCCTGTGTAAGGTCTCCTGCTCTGAATTCTCCTTATGTCCTCAAATCCAAGTTGTGACTCATGCCTTGCTGAGTTTTTTCTGTGTAACATATCAAAGATATGAACTTTCTGATCCATCACCTCAGCCAAACTATTCCACCTAGGTATTGTCATGCTTCCTTGTCTCTGATTCTGAAAAAAGCAGTATTGCACTTTTCATGTCCATTCAGAGTGCTTCTAGAAAGGCATTTTCTTTGTGAGTGATTGCCCTTGCTGTGTCACTTCAAGCTTTGCATCTTCCCAATCTTTCCTGACCTGCCTTCCCCCTCTCCTAGCATTTCTGATTCATCACTAAGACACCAGCTCCTCCTACACCCAGTTGGCCCATAATATCAGCCCCCAGCACCTATTTATTAATGTTTCAAGTACTTCCATGCTTTCTTCTGTGCTTCCCTAAGGCATGAAAGGACTTGCACATCAAAAAGAAATTTGGGAACCATGAATGTGTATTAGACAACACCAGAAAATTTGCGGCTATGAAAACTGAACTTACTCATGGCAACTTCTCTACAGAGACACAAAATGGGCATAAATATCAGATTGTAAATGAAAATGTGATATCTTTGAGTGTGTATTGGAATCAGCAGCAGTAATGCCATTCTTTGGCTTAAAAGTGAAAATAAGTTTTCCAGGGGTAGTCAGAAAAAAAGCCAACAGCTGCACAGCTTCAAAATCTTGAAACCAAATAGTTGCCTGTAGTGTGCACTGGGAAGACCATCCCTGAATTATTGCAGCTTATTAAATGCAAGGAAGAGATTGCATAACAAATATATCACCTGCTTTGTGGTGTGGTTTTGCATATGGTGGGATTTGATGGCTGAGCTTGTCCCTGGAAATAAAAACCAAGCTGATCATTCAGATGGACACAAATCTCAGACATTTGATGTTCGACATCCTAACACAATCTGCTTTAAAAGAAAAACAGGATTTATGCCCCATTTGTGCAATCCTAAAAATAGGATTGTTAAGACATCTTTACGATAATAGAGATGAGAAATTTCTAAGTAAATAAATTATAGCTTCTCGGTGCCAGAAGTTTATTACAGAA